CAATAAAAAACATTTTGTGGAAAAAGGCTTTATTTTTTGAGTCTTCTACTTGTCTGAAGTGAATTATTGATTTCAGCAGCACAGCGAAGTCTCCTTTTGGGTCCAGTGAAGGGTCACGTTTCCTTTTTTTAAAATGACTATTTATGTCTTACCTTTGTATGATGCTATAAGACAGTGGTGAAACTTAACTTTAATCATATATACGCATATTAACATATAATACATGTTTTGTAAGCAGCTATAAAGACAACTGTAGGTGTTTATTTATGTACAATATATAGTCAACGATGACGACCTCCTATGAAGACATTTTATTGCTATACAGTGATTCTCTCTGTTTATACACCAGCCCCCACTTACAGGAGCTCACAGGAGGAGTTATAGGTGCAACACTTATATCTGCTTACAACCAGAGTTATATAGTATGTGATAAACCATTTGTTGTGATTATATGCTGCTTATAACTGCTAACAGTTTGATATATTGATATATATACATATGATACACATATGACCATTTGCAGTAGTGTATGTAGTGTAGTTACTGTTAGGGCTTGGTAATAATTAAATATCCCCTTCATATAAAGATTGTGATTCCATCTATTGTGATCTACAGTACCAAAGATTTTTTTTTTTTGTAGAACATTTTATATGAGTGAACATCAAAGAGCCATTTGACTGAATAAGATGAACGAGTGTATCCAACTTTTACAATGCGATTGTATGTCAATACAAATATTTACAACATTTATAAAGATAGATTTTGTTAATATGTAAGTAAGTTGAACGTTAAATTAAAGTGTCACAGAACACTTTACAAGCGTGTAGTACACATAAGGAATAAATAGACTGCACCTCACAGAAAGGAGGAGAAATGTGGATTGTTTGTATTTCCCTCTGAAGATCATCTTTCTCTTCCTCTTGTGGCTGACATACAGTATCTTGTCAGGAAGGTAATATATTTAAATATTTTATTTTGTATTTATTGTAACAGTGAAATAGAGAGAAATAAAATATAATCCGAAAGTTCCGAAAACATACGTACCATTTTTTTCTCGTTCAAAAACAAAAACAAAAACCTTATAAAACTTGTATTAAATTACTTGTGTTGAGAGTTTGGACCTCTGTGCTTGCAGCACTTTGAACTGTTGGGGGCAGCAAAGCGCCCCAGAGCGCCTGCGCCACCGGAAACAGAACAAGAGAAGAAGAAGAGAGACAGAGCAAGGATAGTTGTGAAACAAGCTAGCTGATGCTGGACTAAAGCGTCGGACACTTTGATGTGTTTTGTTGTTTGTCAGTAAGAGTTGTTATCCTCGGAGCTGTTGCAGTAAACCAAGAAAGAAGAGGAACTGAATCTGTTCCAGCGAGAAGAAATGAGCTCGGTCAGACAGGAAGGTAACCATGCTCTGCTAGCCGGCTAACTCATCTGGAAGCTAACACTTATTTTAACACTCCTATTTTAGTCTGAATGAAAACATCAATGTTGTACCCAGTTTCTAAAAGTGTTTTAACAAGCCTCTTGCTGAGGGTGGCTAAACTCTGTACCCGCTACATCATCATTAAACAGGACTAAATAACTGTAACCATCACAGTGTTTAACCTTGACCAGCAACAATAGTGCAATATGTCATGTTGCATTTCTTACTGTGACTCACCTTAAAATGTTTTTCATTCAAAGTCACTGGACACACACATTTCTTCCTGATCATTAATAGATTTAATTGACTGATGCATTCAGCAGCTAATAGCATACAGACCAACACCTGCAGAGTCTCAAACACCACAGTACATTGAGGTGTGTGCCTGAGCATGCACTCAGATGTGCTCTAGGATTGGACACCTTGTTTTGCCAGATTTATATCTACATATCCTTTACACAGGTATAATAGCAGGGGCTGTAAGTTGTACGAGCTGATCACAGTTCTAATGAAATCTCCCACACAGATCAATATTGTTATTTGAACTTAAAACAGCATATAACAATATATTTGCTGTAACTTGTTTTTCATCATAAACATATTTGACAAGGATCCCTTTTTGTTTAATACAGAATATTAACTATGATAATGTAGAAAGTCTTTTTCTTTGAAAAATAAACATATTTTCTTCCACATTTTACACAACAGGTAAAGACCGAATCATCTTTGTCACCAAAGAGGATCATGAAGCACCCAGCAGTGCTGAGCTCGTAGAAGAAGATCCCAATGACCCCTATGAGGAGCGAGGTGAGGAGCAGTAAAACTAACAAGAAGAACCTGTCGTTGGGTGAAAATATAAGTAATAGCTGCGTATTGACTTCAACCTTCTCTCTCTCATCCTAGGTCTGATTCTTCCCAGTGGGGAGATCAACTGGAACTGCCCCTGCCTGGGTGGGATGGCCAGTGGTCCCTGTGGGACTGAATTTAAGGACGCCTTCTCCTGTTTCCACTATAGTAAGGAGGAGGTAAAGGGCTCTGAGTGCCTGGAGCAGTTCAGGGCCATGCAGGAGTGTATGCAGCGTTACCCAGAGCTCTATCCTCAAGAAGACGAGAAGGTGCCACAAGAACAATCCTCAGAAACAGACCAGACCTCACAAGAGTCAGCATCTGCAGAGACATCAGGTGCCAACTCAACATCTGCCACTGAGCAAGACTCTAATACCACACAACCCAACACAGAGGGTTCAGTGGAAAGCTAATGATGAGCCTTGGCGACAGCGTGAACCACAAGGCTTTAAAGTCCAATTGAAACGCATTTAATCATCTCTTCGGTGGCCAAAAATGATGTCACGATGTTTTTAAATTTTACTGTTAATATTTTTATATTGCTGAAAGGAAGAAAAAAAAGTTTTTTGGGGAGAAGTCATACACGTCTAAGCGCCTGGAGGGGTGTGTCTGTATTTGTTTTATTGAGAGCAGCTAGCAGGCTGAGTGACCAGCAGGGGAACCGGTGACAAAGTGAACTGACTTGCACTGTAGCTTACAAGTCATTTGCACATAGTGTGTTAGCGTTAGTGATATTGAAAAGTAAGCAACACGCCAGCATCTAATGTGCTACAGCTAATTAGCATTCTTGCTTACAAACTGACATTAGCAGTGCACTTTTTCCCAGTGAATATTTGGTTGCTAGATCAGCAAGCTGAGGTACAGGACAATATGTGTGTTCGTACAGTAAGTTACATAAGAAGAGAAGACAAGAAGCTAATAAATTATGTGGCTAATGCTTTATGCAACTATATGTTTTAGAATTATGTCATTTTTCATTGGCTGTGTACGGAAACAAGTTCTCCATCCACCTAAACGGAGCACTATAGGTATTCTGATGGATTAATGCACATGTAGACTGTACCATCATGAAACCAATATATGAATTTCTCTCTTTTGGTTTCTGATTTGTCCTCAGACGGGAACACAGGAATGTGGTTTATAGAGTAAACGTATGCTTTAGCAGACTAAACAGATGACCTTTAAATGTCAGTTGGACTTTAAACATTGTATGTTGAATAAGATGGACTTTTGTAAAACTAATATAATGTGATCAATGAAAGTTGACTGTATACTGTGTTTAAATTCAAGCTGTTCAGTCCTGGCCTTGGGTTCATGTAAAACAAAATTATAAAATCTTTGATCCATTCAAGAGCTTAGAGGACCAAGCTTAGTATACACACTGTGGTGTGTAGTGTACTTTTTTAAAATTATTTACTTTGATGGTTTGAAATGCTGTGTTTTACCATAACAAGGTCTGAAGCTGTAAGATTACAGGAAAAAACATGTTTTCTTCTCATACATTTTTCATTTCCATTCTCTCATGTCTGCTATTTTTACATTTATTTTATGGAGCATATTGCATTTTACATGTACGTTATGTGTTTTACAATCATGTTTTGTATTAATTTTAAACTTTGACTCAAAGTTTATATTACTAATGTTACTGATAAAGTTGTTAAATTCACATGGGTGTGAAGAAAAGTGTGTTTCCACAGTAATCCACTGCCCTGTGTTTCTTCTGCTAATTTATAACCAGACTTAAAACTTTTACCTCGGCTGAACTTAAGAACCATTTGTGTGCACCACGGGCCTGATTGAAGTGACTTGACGTGAATATTGTTGAAAGTTTCATAATTAAATGCGTTGTATCTCTTTGGTTCTTGAGAGGTATTCTTGTTGTTTATCCCTTATATTTCCTTTACAATAATGACCTTAAACTCACCGCATTGCAAGTATACACTGTCAAAAAGAGCAAATCTGTGAGCTCATGAGCAGCTCAGAAACTATGCTTGAATATCACTTTACATTTTATGTTCTTTCAATTAATTTAAGCAGGATACAAATTCTATGGACAGTGGTAACATCTGCAAATACATTTTTTGCCAGTGACTTGAATCAGCAAATATCACTGGAAACCTACAAGACATAATAATTTGGAGGCTTCTCACATCATGGACTCCATATGTGTCAGATGTTTGCTCTGTGAATGTAGGTATTTCATAAAGATATAATATAATCACAGCAAGTAAACTGGGTAAACAAAAACAAAAAAAACAATCCTTGTCACTGGACCTCTGACAGGATGCCATATAAAACTGTCTGATTCTAAATCAGTTGTCAGTAGCTCAATATGATTCAGCCTTTACAATGAGTAGGCTAGCTATTATACAGTTTTCTATAACTCATGTCACATTGTCTTTTTAATTACAGTAGGAGTTTATAAATCTATATCTTTACATGTGTCTTGATTGGTTGAAGATGGATGGATCTGCAGGTGGTGGTGGCAATAATGCTCTGTATTATAATTGCCAGTAAAACTAAAAAAAGGGAAACAACATGATTGACCTGTCCAAAGGTTCCAGGTACTCGCTTTTGTTTAACTGAGTTACATGTTTAAGCATCAGGGGTCAGAGGTCTGTGGCAGTGTTTGCCCAGGGAAGCATGTGCCACTTCAAACTCCCTCAGGGATCAATAATTACCAAACACTCTTTTCTATCTGCACCGTCCCATTGGTGGACTGCAAAGGGCAAAGACAACCAAAAAGCCAATGAGACAGTAATGTGAAGAGTGACCCCCCTCAAGTCTTCACAAGCTCAGTCTTTCTCTCCATACAGAACTATTTGCAGTAAGTGTGAGGGCTGCCTTCAGTCTCCAGCGTGGTCTCGGTCTCCAGGTCTCTGCTCAAGTGCGTGACAGAAAATACTCAGCATGATGTCTTCTTTAAAGGAGATATGCAGTGGTTTACCTCTGGACCCTTTGCCCTCTAACCGGGGAAGAGACCCCGATGTGCCACACGCACCTATACGAACCCCCAACCTCACAGCAGAGGAAAAACGGGTGAGTAAACACACTAACAATTTATGTGCATTAAAGTTTTGCGTCACCTTTGTCACTCAATAATTTGTAAATCAGTAATCCAGGTACATTTTATGATTCTTTTGAGTGCAGCGCAAGTGTAGTATTTTTTTTTTAAACACAGATAATGGCTGCATTACATTTTGTGCACAGCTTACTTGTATACTTACATGGAACAGAGCAATTAATGTGTCATTATATGTCATTAGGTGCAGCTTTGCTTTTCCACTATAACAAGTCAAAATACTTTCTGTGACGTAAATCTAATGGAAGGGAAAGCAGGCTACCTTTAAATGTTATCATGGAGCAATGTGAGAGTGATCTAAAGGAGGTTACAGCTCACTTTATTATAAATTATAAATGTGTCAGTTGAAGAACAACCAGTATGTTGTACTCTGACTTATTGCATCACCTTTTTTGGCTCGTGCTCTGCCTTAAAAAAATGGATTATTCCCGAAGGTCCTCAACTGATTACCCAAACTCAGAGCAAAGGCTTTAGTCAATAATTAAAACGAGACAAAGAGTGCTTCACCTGTTATATTAGGAGAAGCCTGAATGTGTATCACCTATCTGTCTTATTCAAACATTTATTTGTACTGTACAGTCTGTGTTCACTAACCTACTGTTAATATGCCTCTTCCCTCTAGTTGGCGCTAAGAAATGCATTGCGTTATTTCCCCCCTTCCCACCACGCAACACTTGCACCTGAATTTGCTCAAGAGCTGTGGCAGTACGGGCACATCTACATGTACCGCTTCTGCCCCACATTACACATGAGGTGAGGCAACCTGACCAACTGATATGGGACTTTTTAGACCAATATCCATATTAATATTTGAGAGTAAGATATATGATAAATATGTATAGGCTTTTGCACACACAATTAAGAGAATATTTTGAAAATGCTTCAAATTTGGTCATTAGGTCAAGACAAACATGTATGCTGAGGCAGAATACTGTAGTGTGTAGTGTGTAGTGCAAAATATAACAGTAACATTTAAAGGAAAGATCATTTTTGTAATTTTGTTAACTGAAAATGAAATCTTTATAAATAATAACAACAAATAAAAACATAGATAGAACAAAGCTGGAAGACAGATGCTGAGATGCCTGTCTTGATGCAATATCTCTTTATTGACCAGCTGATAGATCTGTCAGTAGGGCTTTAATGATCATCTCTGCTGCACAACACGCACACCAAGGCTTTTGCATTTACACAAGGTTGTAACTCTTGATATTGATATGATATTCTCCTGTTTTTGTTTGTTCCACAACAACAGTGATGTGACTTTTCCTTTGTTTTCTCAGAGCTTACCCCATAGATCAGTACCCGTGCCGCACACGTCAAGCAGCCTCCATAATGCTAATGATCATGAACAACCTGGACCCAGCAGTTGCTCAGGTGAGCCTCAAAACATAGCTTGTATTAATTTAGGAACACTGTTTGATTTATTTATCTCGATGACAACTTAATTTGTCTTTGCCCTCTAGTTCCCCCAAGAGCTCGTCACCTACGGGGGGAATGGACAGGTGTTTAGTAACTGGGCCCAGGTAAGCCCTGAGTGAGCTTGTGTGTGTAAGTGTAAGTGTGGAGTCTGAATTGATTAATAAAAATAAAGATTTGTGTGTGTCTGGGTGCAGTTTCACCTGGTGATGCATTACTTGAGTGAGATGACAGAGGAACAAACTCTGGTCATGTACAGTGGTCATCCCATGGGCCTCTTCCCCAGCCTGCCTTCCTCGCCTCGCGCCATCATCACCAACGGCATGGTAACTGCCCAACACACATCTGATTTAATAAGTAGATTCTCTCAGCCCACACGTATCCCTCTGAACTGATACACTCACTTTTTTTTTTAACTTAGGTTATTCCAAATTACTCCTCAAAAAATCAGTATGAAAAGATGTTTGCCCTTGGTGTGTCAATGTAAGTTTTTAAGGTTTTTATCAGGAAGATTGAAAATTATGCTTTATTAACCCTCCTGTGTGGTTGCAAGTGTGTTGATGTAATCTGTGTTCTGTTTTTAGGTACGGTCAAATGACAGCAGGGAGCTACTGCTACATTGGACCTCAAGGGATTGTTCATGGCACTATGGTTTGTGAATTTAAAAAAAAGGATGTTCACATAACACACAAAATGTGGATTACTTTAAACAGTGCTTCCCTACCTGAGGGCCAGGACAATAATCATCTACTGTCACTGATCTTATGGTCTCTTTGTGGGGCTAAGAGACCATAAGATTAGTGACAGTAGATAAGTATTGTGTCGGAAAAAAGAAAAAAATAATAAAATGGTAGAACTATACTTATTTTGTAGATTTTTCTTTAGTTTTTGCGTAATGCGTTTTTTATAGTGAAATACTGGATAGTTTCACCTCTTTAGACCTCTAAAAAATATCTAAATTAAACAATCTGAGGAGGGAAAACTGGAGCTGAACTCCCTCATAAACAGCCACAACTTGTTAAGACATTTCTTTATATTAACAAGTCACATGTCAAAGAGGTCAGAATCACTCCTTTAGGGTACACATCACCTGTATGTTGTTTCTTTATGTTTTTCTGTGCAGCTGACTGTGCTAAATGCCGGCCGGAGGTATCTTGGCTCTGATGACTTAAGGGGCCGTGTCTTAGTGACCTCTGGACTGGGGGGCATGAGTGGAGCTCAGGCTAAAGCTGCCGTCATTGCCGGCTGCATTGGTGTGATTGCTGAGGTCAGCTGGTATCCTGTTATTTCCTGTTAGTCCTCACTGCTGATTGAGCAAGAATGAAGGAAGTACAGTATGTCATTGTGGGAATTTGTTTTCTATGTAGGTGGATGAGGCTCCTCTTAGAAAGAGACATGAGCAGGGCTGGCTAATGGAGGTCACCAGCAGCATGGACCAGTGCATTAAACGCATCAGGTAACAAAGAGAAAAGAAAGTTATGACTAAACCCATTATTGATGGTCATAATGGTTTTGATATGACAAACCTTTAGTGTGTGTGTGTGTGTGTGTGTGTGTGTGTGTGTGTGTGTGTGTGTGTGTGTGTGTGTGTGTGTGACATCATATTGTCAGTCCAGACCTGCAATAATTACAATATTAATCAGTAGCCCCGTTAGATAAAGAAAAAATGCTCTATGGAGAACGTATTCACATCCTTTACTTAAGTAAAAATAGAAATGCCACACTATAAAAATATTTAAATATTTAAAAGACTAAATGTATCCCATTACAGAACTTGTCTGCTGTAAAACACAGTAACTCTTATTATTTTGTGTCTTTCAGAGAGGCCAAGAGCTCCAAGACTCCCCTCAGTCTGGGTTTCCATGGAAACATTGTAGACTTGTGGTGAGTGAGAGGTGAAAACTTTCTGTTACCCAGACACAACGACCCAGGTCTGCAGTAAAAGACCCACCTGTTGTTACATGCTATTGACATCTTCTCCTACTTTAATAACTTTCCAACAAGGGAGAGGCTGCTGCTGGAGTACGAGAGGACAGGGGAGCTCCTGGTGGATTTGGGTTCAGACCAAACATCCCTTCATAACCCATATAACGGAGGCTACTACCCAGTCCGGCTGAGCTTCCACCAAGCAAATCAGCTCATGACGACTGATCCTAATCGTTTCCGAACCATGGTCCAAGAAAGGTAAAATGAATCACACAGATGGACTGTGCTATGGTGTGTTTCCTGCAATATATGGGTCTATTAAAATAAAATAACACGTGTTTTACATACAATCACAGCCTTCGAAGACAAATTAAGGCCATTAACAAGCTGTCCGATGCTGGTATGTTCTTCTGGGACTATGGCAACGCATTTCTCCTGGAAGCCCAGAGAGCTGGTCAGTAATATAACATTCATATCACCATTATCATTCAGTCAATGTCAGACCAATAAAGAGGGTTGTGCTTCTTGTTTTTATAGGAGCAGAAGTAGAAAAGGTTGGTGGAGGAGCAACAGAGTTCCGGTACCCATCGTACGTTCAGCACATTATGGGGTAAGGCATTTCCTTATTTATTCAAACTAACATTGATCCTCTGATAGAAAATTCTAGTAAAAGTCTAGAAAACAGAGCAAAAAAACTGTTGTCAGATGTTTTCTTTTTGACAACAGTGATTTCTCTCCTTCAGGGACATTTTCTCTTTGGGATTTGGCCCATTTCGCTGGGTGTGCACATCTGGCGACCCCCAAGATCTTTCCATAACGGACAATATTGCTGCTACTGTCCTGGAGGAAATTAGTGCCAGCGTGAATAATCAAATCCGTCAACAGTACAATGACAACATCCGCTGGATCAGAGAGGCTGGAAAGCACAAAATGGCCAGTAACTTTCTGAGAAATGAACGCCTGCATTGGCTCTCTCAATCCAAATCTGATGAAGAGACACGTAGCTGCAATGAGCTGATTTCCTCTGTGTATTCTCATTCTTTAGGTTGTGGGTTCCCAAGCCAGAATCCTCTACTCCGACCAGAAAGGAAGAGTCTGCATCGCTTTGGCTATCAACCAGGCTATCGCTGATGGAAGAGTTTCAGTAAGAGGATAAATTGTCCTTTAAGAAGATTATTACATGCTTCCTGTGGTCTGAATGATATAAAGGTTTCACTGGAGTCTCAACAGTGATGTATGTTATTTCTGTTGCTCAGGCTCCTGTGGTTATTAGCAGAGACCATCACGATGTCAGTGGCACAGACAGCCCCTTCAGAGAAACCTCTAATGTGTACGATGGATCTGCCTTCTGTGCAGGTATGTTCGATACATCTTCAGTTTAATTTAACAATTTGTCTATTTTACAAAAATGTAACTACAGTCTCTACAGATATGTTTTATACCATACTGATATAATGATGACTACGACTGCCTAGAAGGTAAAAACACCTAAAAAAGACTGACATAAAAATACAGTAGTTGTGTGGGTGGCTCTGTGGCTTTTCCCACAAACTCATACTCTTAGTTTTATACAGACTCCTTTTCCTTTTTCCAACCTTTACTGTCTCTCTTCAGTTAATGTAAACCAGTAAAACTGCAGGAATAACTTTAAAAAGTGAAGTGACAGCTCACAGTGTCTCCCCCTTACAGACATGGCGGTCCAGAACTTTGTTGGTGATGCATTCAGGGGTGCCACATGGGTAGCCCTGCACAACGGTGGTGGTGTTGGCTGGTAAGGCTGGCTGGTCATGCAGTAAATACTAATCTGTATGAATGGTTATTGTGAATCATTAAAGGTCCAGTGTGTAGGATTGCATCTAGGGGTGTGGTTGCTGATTGCAAAGCCCTCGCTTCACCCAAGCATATATCATCATATCTATGAATATTACATTCCATTTCCTAAATGTTACACACTGGACCTGTAAAGCAATTCACTTAATAAATATTAATCTGTCACCAAGTCAATGTGTTTATTACTTTATCTCTGGTGTCACCTACAGGGGTGAGGTAATGAATGGAGGATTTGGTTTGCTATTGGACGGCTCAGAGGAGGCAGCAAAGCGCGCCAGTCTGATGCTCAACTGGGACGTCTCCAATGGGGTGAGGGTTCCAGTCCCACTCAAATTGTAGATGATTGCTGGCCGGCTCTAATCTGTTTCTGTGTACCACAGGTGGCTCGTCGCTGTTGGTCTGGAAACTCTAATGCCTATGAAACCATCCAGCGCACCATGGAGGGGAACAGACAGCTGCGTGTCACCATGCCCTTTCCTGTACAGGATGAGCGCGTGCTGGACCGTGCCCTGCAGGGTTAGCCAACACTTACTTACAACTATAGGATAACAGTCTGCTACATACAGCCACACAGCAAAGGAAACCTGCAGCTGTAATCACTTCAGTAGAGTCTGAATCAGGTCAAATCCAGCTGTTAAATCTTTAAACAGCAGATTTCTATAAATCACCCACAAAGAAAAACTTACAAAACATGTTGTCAGTTAATGATAAATCAGTGTAAATGTTGTTACATAAGTTGTTTGCATGTATACAAAGAATGCAAAGTAGGCTACAACACTGTTATAGACTGTAATAATTGGATCTGCAAGAATATATTCTTTACTTTGTGCTGAAATTAAAACTACAAGTCTGTATAAATGAGTCATTTTTATGTCAATAACATACAAAAATAATGTGTTAACGTTGAAATGTCAATGACTTAATGGTGGAGAAATTTAGTTATTGTTTAGTTATTATGGAAAAGGAAAAGAAAATGTAGTTCTGAAGACTGAATGGTCAAGTTGGATCACATCTGACAGCATCAAAGCCACAGGTTTGTTTCTGTTTTCAGCTGCTATTTCCAGCTCTGATGCCTGTCCAAACAAGTTCTTCGTAACACGGACAGATTACTTTCACATGTTATTAGAGACACTGTGTGGCTGTTGTTACAAAATGGCTCAAAATTGTCAAAAGTCCTAAACATGCAACATAATGCAATATTTTAATGAAATACATGTAATACAAATGATGTGTGATTGTAAACATATCAGTGCCCCTGTGAGTAAAGAAAAAAGCACAGCCAGTCATACAAGACAAAAGGTTTGTTTCAGATTTAAAGGATTTCTTGGCACCCTCTCTGTGTGCTGGTAGTGCCTCCACGTCCTTTGGAGACTACCAACCTGAATACCAACCTTTAACTCCATCTTGATTTCTTAGTTAATGGGTTTATTCACAGACGACATGTAGGGAACAGTTTACATAAATAATGGGCAGTGCTTTTTGCAGGATCAGGGTGTGGTGAGGACACAGCTGGAGGAGATTCCACAAAATCTGTATTAAGGGGACACAACAATATTCTTTTAGGGGGTCCAGTTTCCACCTCGACTTCCCTCGACTTTAACATTGTACTTATTAAATTAATGTATGGTCCTGGTTTTTGCTCTTTTGCTGTCTCCACTGGTACCTTGCCGTGCGTCTTTACGCGTGGTTGTTCCTTTAAGAAAATGAATTTGAGCCGCTCCGCGCTGACGTAAGGGAATTGGAGAGGTTGGTGTACCCTGCAGAAAGAGGCCGATAACCGTGATGAGGACCAGGCAGGGGTACCAGATCTTTTCACCATTTTCTTTCCTCTCAGCCATTTAGTGTATTTGACCATCTCTACGCATCCGATCAGAGTCTTTTGGAGTTCTTTGTGTCAGTATAACGGTGCGATTTCAGACCCCCGCCCTTTTATTTGCTCCAAGGTGGTTTTATAGATACTTAATTTCGCTCCTGCAGTGTTCAAAGTGGGTCGAGATGTTCTGTCGGGAAGTACAAAAGTCGTCTGGAAGCACACGAATGAACTAGGATGACACCGGATATTTTCTGTGGCAGAGACTGATGTGATTTGCTCTGCATCACTGTTGATTTTTGTACAAGGGAAAAAATGCATCATAACCAGGAGGAGCAGTCGGCCAATCCAATTACTGCGCAGCACGGGACGGCGCACCACAGTGACTCCCACAGCCTGGGGAGCAGCTTGGACAGCGGCCTCACTGATCTGCAACCACCTGCTTACTCCAAACTGGAGTTCAGGAGAAATGCAGTGACAGACGACTATAAAATCACAGCTCAGGTTCTTGGCCTGGGAATCAATGGCAAAGTGCTGGAATGTTATTGCAAGAATACAGGAGAGAAATGTGCCCTCAAGGTGTGTGTGTGTGTGTGTGTGTGTGTGTGTGTGTCTGCTTCTTTATCCTGTGTGTGATCTAAACAGTCCTCTGGAGGCTGCTGTCACTGGAAAGAAAGAGTCCCATCAATTATTAATTTCTTCTCTGTGATCTCCACCATTCAATGGTGTCTTGTACAATACACTAATTGTGCTTTTTGTGATGCTTTGAGGTGTTGGCTGGATGCTATGTGACGCAGATGAAATATTAATTCAACCATGGATGCATGCAGCAGTAATCTGACAGCAAATTAAGTTACTGAGCTAACCAGACAGTGGAGGTGTCTGTCAGACAGTGATGTGCTGTCTGGGATGCTTTGACACAATTTCCACGATTGTTGTGTAGACAATGATCTGCTCTGTTAATACGTCACATCATCATCTGTGACTCTGACATTTAACAAAATCTGCATTTGTTTTAACTCAACATGAAGTATTCAGCTTGTTGAAAGTTAGCAGTGATTTTTTTAAAGCCAACTTGGGAAATATGAGTTGAGGAACTGAGAAATTCAGAGCTGGTAAGTCAAGAAACAGCTGTCTGTAGAGCTGCACCAAAGCCTTAGGAAAATACAAACAGGAAGCACAGCCCCATGAGTGCCTCCACATGTTTTCTTTGGAATATCTCGGGTGGTGAACCACAACCGAAAAGGTATGATGAAATGTGAGAGCTAGCGTTGAGTAATCTTGTGAGTTGTAATGCAGGGATTTTTCCAGAAAGGCCTTTATAAACATTCATATCTGAGCCCTTTTCCTCCTCCAGTGCTTAAATCCATTGTAATTATGTACCCAAGGATTTGGGCTGGGGTCTGCATGTCTAGGAAAAGAGGATATCCTCCTCCCCTGTCTGATATCAGGGCTGCAGCCCTGCGTCTTTAAGGACAACGCATGTTGCTAAATGCATTCTTAAAGTATTCACTCTTAATGTTCTCTCTCTTAATGTAGATTAATGGCTTTAATAGTGACCACTAACAGTGATATAAACAGTGAGTGTCTTCACAATAGGGCATGTGTTTGTCTCTTTGTGTGTTTATTGATTTATTGACAAGAATATCAACTATGTATATGTTTGTTTGTTTTTAATCAATCAAGCTGATCTGCCTTTATACAGACATGAAACAAAAGCATTTCATCGACTTGTGTTTTTGTGACGTGGAGCAGATCCTGTATGATACTCCTAAAGCCAGACGAGAGGTTGAGCTGCACTGGAGAGTCTCTGGAGGGCCCCACATTGTCCGAATACTCAGCCTGTATGAGAACATGCACCAGGGCAAGAAATGTCTCCTCATCATAATGGAGTGGTGAGCATTACCAGCTCTAAGTTACATATATTGTGTGTGTCTTTAAAGGGAAATCAGTACTAAAATAGATTTGTGGCGATTTCCTAGTACAGCTTTGTGTTCAATTATGAATTTGAAAAAGTCTCTAAGCTGACAGACCGTATGAAGGCGTACACATATGTGAATAATGAAGCGCCTCCTATGATTCCCAGTTCAGAACTAGTATCTTGTATCTAGATGTCTGGTATGGTAACTAGGGCCAGCTGAGTTTGATTTGAGCCCACACCTGGCTTGCATTTGATTTTGGACTTCAGGGAAAAGTACACCGTTGCTTAACAGAAAATAACTATGTGAACTGTGTCACACTCTTTGTTTCTGGTTTTGTTTGCATCCTAAATAAAACAACTTAGAAATCCCCATTGTTCCTTGTTCCATGAGGCTTCTTCCACACCGCAGCTTGTGCTTTTAAATAACAGTAAAATGACATCCTCCCACAGAACATGTTATAGAAAGACTTTCTTTCTTACATATATATTGGTATTTTATATTATTTTGTCATCTGTTCTGGGCTTTTTTTCCTGTCTGTCTACATAGATTCCATTGTTATTTTGTCCTTTAACTTGTGGCAACAATTAGTGAAAATAAAAGTGAGAGCAGTGCAGAGCAACAGATGGACAAGTTGGAAATTATCTCGTACAGACTGTTGGCAAGTGTTGTTGTGCTATTTGTTTACTACAGAATAGACTTTACACCATTCATTTGCATCACTGACCCCATGTTAATATGGTTTGAATAACTGGATTGTACAATATCCTCATTGTTTTTTGGGCTGTGTTCATACCTGTATGTAGTCACTGACGATTCAAACACAGAACATACTTTAATGTTAAAGGGGAATTTGGCAACTATTTCAACTTAATAAACCTGTTTAGAAATCATTTGGATGGTTAAATGGCCTCAGCAGCGGTAGAAAGGGGGAGGAGGGTGCCACAAGTGAGGTTTTTTTTTTACGACAGTTTTGTGAAATATATGTCGCAGAGCTGTAGGGGGAGCTCGCTGAGAAAACATGCAACGACAAAAGTGAAAACCAGAGAAGAAATGGCTAGAGTTGCCAAGTTCCCCTTTAAGAGTTGACCTCTGATAAGTCAATTTTATTGGAATATTGAAACACTTTCTGATACACAGCTACATTATAAGCTGCAGTTTGATGTAAAGTTAATTTTTGATATATGATGTCTTGAACAAAACAAACTGAGCAAATGGAATCAAGCGTTATATAATTCACATCTTATGTATTTGTATTAACTTTCTACTATAAATCTAAAATAGTGGCTGGCTGTAAAATCATTATTGGGGTGGAATTCCTCTTTAAAAGTGTCCTTACAGCTTGAGTCATCTGAGTCCGCTGTGGCTCAGAAGAACTGGACTCATCTGAGCAGTAAATTGTGAGGCACAATGACTTACTTTGTTGTCGAATCATGATTACAGTGGAGGACTGTGGTTGTTTGCCAAGAGTCCCCTCACTGCCCCAGTTCTGATCTCTTTGTTAATCTTGTCTCAGTATGGAGGGAGGGGAGCTGTTCAGCCGCATTCAGGCCAGAGGGGACCAGGCCTTCACAGAGAGAGGTGGGTTAGAGGGTTAGAGCTCATATTAAGTAGTTTTATTCATGGGTTTCTACACTGTGTCCTGTACACTTTACGTCTATGTCATGTGTGTCCTTCAGAGGCGTCAGAGATCATGCACGACATCGGCACGGCCATAGAGTACCTCCATCACATGGACATTGCTCACAGGGATCTAAAGGTACTGCTGCTGTGAAAATAATTCTTCACAGATAATGTAAGAAATAATTCCCACATTGTTTTGAATCACTTATTATGTGCACTCTACAGCCTGAAAACCTGCTCTATACCACTAAGGAGAGTAACGCTACACTAAAGCTGACTGACTTTGGCTTTGCTAAGGAGACAACACTGCACAACTCCCTCCAGACTCCATGTTACACTCCATATTACGTTGGTGAGTGTTGTCATCACAATAATACGTTTCAGTGAACGTAGGTAAACACAACATTTGTGCCACTATTATAAATGTACCTTTTTTCATGTTGTGTGTGTATATTGATGTGCTTTTGTGCGAGTGTCTTTCATTCTACACATCATTGTGTTGGGTT